GTCAACTTTCCTTATCAGGTCTGATACACTTTAACAGGTCGGAGAGAATACTCGAAATCGGGTATTATCCGTGAAATCGCGTATAATACTTGATATTAGGGTATCGTTGAATCCGCGAAATCGGGTATTCCGTGCAACTTTCTATAAAAACAAAAGAATAAAGCAACGGCGCATTATGCCATTTACTGTTACTTGTACATCAGTATCTTGTGGATTTATTTTTATTAAACCTAATTCATATGGTTGTCAAATAAGTTTAAAATCACACGACAAAAACTGCTGGGGTAACAAAGAGGACACAATGGCGTTATTATTTTTCAATATAATTTCTAAAAACAAATAACTACACTTTGTTTGTCTTTATTTCCCATTAAAATTTTCCATATACTTAATTTTCTAATTTATGCACTATTCACAAAATGTGAAACTTTAAAGAAATTAAACGACTAACGCCGTGTTATGTGTTTTTACTGAAAAATGTATGGCGTCCCTTTCACGTGAAATATAGTTATTCCTAACAGTTAGAGAGTACAGTATAAGCGAGTCATAATTGTATATCTCTGCCATAATAGAATACCAACGTTATTATAAAGAAGAAAATAAAATAAGATTAAATAAATACCCACGGGAAAACAGGTTGAAAGTAGCTAATTGAAGGTAAGTATCTGTTTTATGTCAATTTAGCATGGAAATTTTTATTCAAAGACACCGAAAAATTTTTGGTTGCATTTTAATCGATACAAGATATGCTATTTTACCTTTATTTTATGCATTTGTGAGAAAATTGAGAGCGAGAAGTCATATAAACAGGATTTTCTTGGGGGGGGGGGAGTATAAATAAAAGTCAAATGTGTACATCTTTTCATGAGCTTAAAATACAGTTTTTACGTTTATGAACATGATAATGAACAAACTGAAATAATGGAGTGTTCAATTGCCTTGGAAACTCTTGTCTTACTTTTTGGAATATAATTCCTCATCGGACATTAAAATTTCATAAAAATTGTAGCCACTTTCTTTCTTTATTATACTATTTGATAGACAGGGTAAATTTTACCTCTTTACCTTCTATATTTTTTTTATATCGCTATCTAATACCTCATTATAATATGCTAATACAATGAATTATGTGATTGGTTCTAGACAATATGTCACAGTTTTCTTTTAGTTATTTTATCTATGATACTTATTACTCATGGCAATAACGTTTTCTAAAACTCATCTATAATGAAAAAAAATGTGTTAAAAAATAAACATGAATTCAAGTTTCATTCCGACTCATATTGTGTTAGAAAATAACAAGTTGCTTTTTGTTTACCAATATGATTTTTATTTGATGAATAAATCTTCCCTACGATTAAAAATATATAACCAAGTTTAACCGACCTTGACATTCAAGGAGAGGTCTCTTGGACATATGTAGAACACAGTCGAGGTTGTTTTGTCAGAGGTGGTCAAGAAGCCTTTAGCCCCCCCCCCCCCCCCCCTTTGAAGTCGCCAAGAAATGGTAAAATATTGATGACTTAGCGAAACGATCTAAGTTATGTTCTCTCATAAGATGTATTCCTGAAACTATCACTGTCTCTGCTAAAATGTTGAAATCATATTATTCAAATATGTATGGATAATAAAAAAAAAAGATTTTCCAAAAAAAGAGAAAGTGGGGTTTTTTAGCCGAAATTTTAAACATTTTTATTATTACTTTATTCATACATTCATAAATAAATGTGATTTTATGCACAAGATGAATGTGAAAGTAATTAATGACGCATAATTAGATACGATAGACAATCTCTTGTTTATACATGGCATCATATCTTGTGTTTGAAATGTGTTTACGTATAATTTGATTTATTTACAAATTGTCCATGTTTGTCGTGTTGATGTGGAATTATTATAAATTCCCGAATTCTGATACTTTAAAATTCTGTTGTGTTGGGAATGAACATGAGGAAGATGCATATACTTTAAACATTATTAAAATATATAATGCAAATCGAACACCTTTTTGTGTGCAGATCATGAAATGTACTGAGCTCCACGGGTATTTGTTGTCCTTGGCGCATTAATCTTGAAGCCCAAATTCTTACTTCGCTAGTGATACCTTTAGAAAACATGTGTATCTAGATGAAAGTTAACTCGGCAACATGCGCCATCCCATTGTTTAAATTTTATTCGGTGATTACACCTCCTATACCCGATTTCGCGGATTCAACGATACCCTAATATCGAGTATAATACGCGATTTTACGGATAATACCCGATTTCGAGTATTCTCTCCGACCTGTTTAAGATATGTTTGATACTGCAATAATATTCCGTTATGATCATCACGTGTATACGGTTAATGTCTCTCAATTGCTTTGCATCCTCTACATATGACTATTTTCTAAAACAGGGTAAGTTATTGATAATTAAGTTGATGAAACAATGAATAGTCTCGTTCAAAGTCATCATTTTGCATTTGTTTTGAGTGATACAATGACTTTGTCAACAGAAACATCTATCAAGTTTAAATGCTGACTAACGTTTTTCATACTCATTTTTAGGCCATCATTTACACAGTAAATTTTCCAAGGATTTCTTTTCGTTTTCGTTTTTATTGGTTATTTTGTTACTTTCCGATCATAACAAGTATACGGTGTCAGGTGTGGGATGCTTCTCCTCACTTATGAGGCTCGATCGATTTTGTTGTTCTTTTAAGTTTTATTTTAATGGACTCTTGAGCTCGAATACAGTTTGTCATCTCATTCTAGAACATTTTTGTATTTTGTGTTTGTAACAATACTTTAATCGTTCAAAATTTGTTCTTTACTGAAACAATATTACATTGAGAGGAAGACAAAGAATTGATTGTCCACAGGACACATCTGTCTTTAACCCTATGTACCAATCAGGTGGATGGAATATCAGAAGTTTAACTAAATGTAGTTTTCAAAACAAAACCTTAACAATTTGTATGAAACAAATCAGCCAAAATATGACCCATCAAAATATTTCGTTTGCCAATATATATAATTTAAAATTTCTTGATTTTTGAATAATTTGGGAGGCGAGTTAAACGTATGGATAAAAGCGGAATATTACTAAATGAATAAAGAAATTGTCATACAATGTATTCGTTTATAACTCCGGAAAAATACCTTAGAATAAGAATTCTTTGGTGTGCATTCTAGAGAGGGTTCTTAAAGAGGAATTTCAGCTCCTTTTAATATCTATTTTGAAGAACCTGCACAAAGAATCACTGATTTTAAACAGATTAAGTAATTTTATTGATGACTATTCACAATTATACAGTATTCAAGCCCAAAAGTCCATTAAAAAACACAATACAATATAGGAGCTGTGTAAGTCAATTTTCATTTATTTCATCGAAGCTTTCAAACTAGTCACAGTTTTGGATTTCATATTTTATTTTGTAAACATATTTTTAACAAAGGAACCACAAAGCGGTGTATCACATCGCAGAGAGCATATGTATAAATTAAGGTAGTCCCGTCACTCACTTATTACGTCACTTCTGTTTCGCAAAGTAATAATTCACCTACTCACAAACAAACACACACATACTTGTACGACCTACCCACTAATAAGCACACCCTTTCTTGCACGACTGCGTTAATATATCCCCTTCAAAGTCCAAATATGTTGTGAGGGGATAAAATCATCTCGAAAACAATCAACATTCTGAAGTCTCTTCTGTTGTATGAGTAAATATATTAATTTTCCTGATTTGGAAATTTTTCCATGTCATATCAAACTAGTACATGTTAAAATGTAAATCATCACTAGTACTGGGGGGGTCAAAATATTTTTTCTAGCTCAACGCACAATTTACCATTTACTTTGTCTGATGTGGCATCATCCTCAGTTGAATTTGGATATTCTGAAAAATATCAAAAAATGTAATATAATTCCTTAAATTGATCTAAAAAAGCAAAAGCAAAACTTGAAATTAAAAATCGGATATTTTCCCAAGTAAATATCACAAATATAAAGTTAAACATGAGCACAATAAGAATATTTTCTACACTTGATATCTCTTTTTTTTACTCGAAACCAATTTATGCTTCTCGGTTATGGTATCTGTTTTGGGAATTTTAATAACATTAATTATGGACGATGTTTTTCTGTTAATGACCAAAAAAATTTAAACAAATCAAACTTTTATTTCTAAAATTCATTTCATTTCTAAAATACTTTAGTTTTATGAAAAAAAGTGAATATAGGAGGATTGTCAGGAAAATTCGAGGAATTCTGTCTTTTAATTTTTTTATTTAACGTCATATGTTATTGCAGCTCGGAGGACCGGGTTGCTCTATACATATAAGTGTAAGTGTTGGTGTATGGGAATTGAAGTGGGAGAAGTTATTGAGAATCAAAGGTTTTCTAAACAATAAAAGAATTGTTAATCAGAATGTTCTTTCCCTTTCTAAATTATGATATATTTAATATATTTACTTCCATAACGTGAATTTGTAAATATGTATATGTTTTGATAATATAAAGCTGCTCATCATTTACTATCGAAAAACAGGTCCCCCTTTTTAGAACATCAAATTTTACTTATTGCATAAAAACGTACTCTATACAGCTCGTGTTTTATATTCTTGAAAATATGCAATACATGTGTCTCATTTACTTGAGGTATTGTTAAAGTTTAAAAGGGTATCGTTTTTCTTCGATTTTCATCCGACTATAAGTTTTCAAAATATTCTCGACTATCGTCTCCATCATTTAGACGCATTTCTTTTTCACACTTATCGAAGCGAATTGATGATCAAGACTCATTTCCATTGTTTACTTTATTTATTTTTCGGGCGACAATTGATGGTTACATCAATGTTTTCTTGTCTAAATTTGTTGTGCGTGTGTGCGTGTTATACACGGCAGAAATCATGAATAAACTATAAAAATGTTATAGGAATAAAACAAATATGTCACAACTGAGTCGAACATGTTTTTGTAAATGGCACAGGTGGGATCTGAGTGACAAACATTTTGTATCGGACGAAAACGGTATTCCTATTAAAATCTAAACAAAAAAATTAAAAAGTTTAAACGTCATGTAAAGACATAGGCGGTTCAAAGTTACTGATCTTGTAAAAGTTGACAACGGAAATTATACAACAAGAACAATTATCAAAAAAGTAATATAAAGTGGTAGATAAAGGTTTTAATGATGGGTATTTGACTATACTTGTGGGAAATATAAACATATTGATTTAAAATGAAGTACATTGATTTCAATTAAATCGAATGCAACGAATATGTACACATAAAGAAAACGAATATTTTTTTTACATATCATATTGTGTATATTTTAAATTTCTTGAAAAAAGTTTAACGAAAATTGACATCGTCCATGAACTTTTCGACCAACCGTCGTATAAGGGATCTCATGATTTGTGGTTCTATTTTTTTTTTCTTTTTAGATATCTTACCACTTATCATGGGAGATTTTTTTATCCCATATTTTATACAACACTTTCAAAGTTTCACATAGGAATCCACGTTATTTCACATCATGAAACATATCGGGATAAGGAGCAGTATTCAAGATCAAAAGTTTATGAAACATTACAGAATAGGAGCAGAAAAATCATGGACCTCCAAAATATCAGAGGTGGGATCAGGTGTCATCATCTCTTTCGTGCAAAACCCTTTATGAAGTCATAACAATTGGATATCATTAAATATTTAATGAGTTATATCCACTGGATAAAGGGGTAAATATTGGGTTAAAAATCATTTTAAAATCTCACCTGTATTTAGAACAAAGTAAACAGAGTCTGCTGCTTCTCTTTCATCCTTAGAAGTACACATTTTAGTCTCTCCTACTTTTCGTTTTTGAGAAATACCTGACATAAACAAATTTTGTTGCACAACATTTGTGTTTATATCTGTTTCTGTAACTTCTGTATTTGATAAATAATCTTTATCTTTTTGATCCTGAGGTTGCATGGTTTCATTTGTAGTGTTCCTGTGTGTCATTTCCTGTTTTGGATAAGACTCATCTTTAAAAGAGGGTTCACTTATGTCTACCTGTTTAGTGAAAGAAGTTGATGCATGTTCCATGATAACATCACGTATAGTGTTCATTGGTATCAGATGGCGATATTCGTGACACAGTGGTTCTACATATTCATTACTTTCTTGTAATTCCATTTTTGGGTACGAATTGCTTTGAAAAAGGGGTTCACTTATGTCTACTTGTACAATCATAGAAGGTGATGTCTGAAGATATTTACGAAGTTTGTTATCTTCATCACGGTGTTTCCTAAAATCTTCTGTTTTTTCTCCTGATAGAAAAGTTTCCTCTACCTATATATATCAAAATATTTGTTTTCAAAATCTTTTTAAAACAAAGCAGTTTTTAATCATCTTTTTGACGCCCGTTTTCGCATTGCCAATTTTATAAGATATATCATCGACAAAAGTATAAATTATATATGTTTTAGTATAAAACATACTGACTTATTTGACGCCGAATCACGAGAATAATACTTCGCGAATGGACGGTTGATCAACAGAATTTAAATTGCTTTAAGCACCTTTGAATTAAATAGTGAGTAATATTACGCAACGATGCTACCGGCGAAATTACGCGGAAATCATTTTTTGCAACTCTACAGTACTTACTTTGAAATATTCGCGAGTGCAAGGAATTTCTGAATATTCTGGGATATCATTCAATGTGTCTGTTCCAGGAATGTTATTATTTCTATGTATATCTAGATTCACTGTAATATTTTTCGGCACTCTGAAAATAAATTGATTTTTATTTTATATTGCGTAACATTTATCCCATTTAAAGTCTATTTGAAGTAGGATAATACTGTATGAAATAAATTTTCTTGATTTTTTTTTTCATAATAATCATCGTTTATCTTTAACATGTTCCTCCAACAATGAAAAAACATTCAGGTTTGTTCTCACCTTTTTAGAAATACACACGTGCCAAAAATTCCTATAAGTAATCCAAACAATGTTCCACCTAAACAGATCATGACGTATATTTCTGCATTCGTTTCTGAAATGAGTAAGGAGATGTCGCAATTCAACGTTAAAGCAATAAGAAGTTGCCAACTGTTTAAAGGGATATAAACAACAAATGCAGTCTAATTTACAGAGAATTGTTGAAAACAATTATTTACGTTTTTTAATCATTTTAAAATTTAACCTACTTAAATAATCAATTTTAATCATTTAAAACATTAATTTAAAGATATTTCTTGTCTATATGCGTGCACGTTTACAGGACTCAAGGATAAATGTACGTGTTATTTACTCGTGAGACGTTATCTAAAACAAAGCTTTATGATCAACATGATAAATTTTCAAACGTAAACTTCCTTTACTTTGGCAGGAATGATCCTTTATCATCTACAAGTTGGGATAAATCTTTCATCAGGTGAATATACTCCACGTATGAACAATTTATAAAACTAGTTAAATATTGACCAACATATTAATGAAACAGGACTATCATCAGCCTCGTCCTGAGCCATAATTTCGTAAGTTCTATGATCGATGCAATGAACTTGGCAGAAAAATGTATGCAATTTATCATAAAATCAAATTCTGACTGGGATTTTTATACTTTTTGTAAGGCCATTATTTATTTATTTTTTGTTGTTGTTATTTTTCGGTCATGACAAGGAGCCCACTGTGGATGTGACCGGTAGGCAGGGGTTGCTCACTCCTCCATGGCACCTGATCCCACCTCTGATGTTTTGGAGGTCCGTGTTTTTCTGCTCCTGTTCTGTATTGTTTCATGGGCCTTTATCCTTGATTACTCTTCGTTATCTACATGAATATTCTCTTTAATTAAGAAATTTTAAAAAAAAAGTGGGTTTAAGAAAATGTTTAAAGAGTGGGTTCAAGAACAAACTATCAAATTATGATGGAAATTATTTTTTTCTTTCACAACTGCATGCACTAATTATGAAAAAGGTGAAAATATTAAGGACACCGTGTAATTTTCAACTATGGATATTACCAGTATATTGTCAATTTCCTTGTAAAATCGACAATACATGTAAAAGATACAAATCAAGAGCAGATCAAACACGGGCTTCTAAAATATAAGGTGCTCTGGAGGAGTGGGCATCCCCTTGTCCCCTGTGCTCCTTGTTAATCCTTCTTGATAATATTTAATAACTAGCAGATTGTATTAAATACGAATGTGTTTATCAACCAGAAAATCATCGGTCTATTATTTTCTTCTCAAAAATATACCTTTTGTAGTTTGTGAATTACTTATACATCCTGGCTTGATTGTCGATGTGTCTTGGAAGCTATTAATTACGTTATTCGTGCTGAGAATCGCATGATGTCTTGACTCATTTTGGCAACTCAGGTTAACAGGTTTGTCTTCTTCGTATCTGTCCCCAGCTTTTTCAAAGTTACAGGACAGATCGACATCTTTTAAACTTTTTTTTATCTGATCACTAGTCTCATTAGTGTCTACTATGGTATCTATTCCTCTCTTATGTCGTTCTTTAATGGAACAGTTTGATTTGTAACAAGTATCTGTATCTAGTATCTTTATACAGATAAGCAATGAATCCTTTTTCGTTTTGTCCGAGATAGTTTTGATTTTGCAATCTGTATTTCTGGTGCATTTTTCAAGGTCAACTTTCATTGTAGATCCTTATAGATAAATAAAATATTAAAATTAATGGCTGCAAAATAAGAAACTGCTTATAATTACAGTATATCTTATAAACCAGAGGTCTGCAAGCAAACATAAAATATGATTTATTATTTTTTGTTATAACGCCCGTGTTTGTTTTAGTTTATTTCATTCATCGAAATGTATATACGTGATGCTATAAATTGATATATTTATTTTTTTTGTAATAAATAAGAGTAAGGGAAGAGTGTTATAGTGAAACACAGACACAACAAAAGTAATCAAGTTCAAAAGTCCATTTAAAAAACAAATCGCTGGGAGAAATGCCTCTTAAATACCTCTTAAAACATCAATTAACATGTAACAATCATGATAAAACAAAGAAAGAGAAAGTATGCATATATATTCTTGCCTGTATTTGTTTTAGAGGATAAAACACCACGTATTAAGTTTTCTAACTTCTGAAGATGATTTCTGCAAAAGAAATACACGTTACAATTCTATTCATTCATTACAAGACTCATGCTTGACTAAAAGAAAAAAAGAGCAGGCGCCGAAATCATAAAATAATCTTCAACAAAAAACAAATATTTCCGTCCTTTGCATGGTGTATGTTAGCTAAAATACGTTTAAAAATATCGATTTGGCGATGCCTTTTTAAAAAGTATTTCATTTTACACTGATTGATTTTCAGCGCTCGATACAGATTAAGACTTACTTTTAAGAAATAACAAGATCTTGAGGCCAGTATTTTTAGTTTAACTGAGCCGAAGGCTTATTTGACTTTTTCGGACAAGATTTTGTTCGATTTACGTCAGTGCATCTGTCTTTCTGTAAATGTTTTACATGTTCAGCTTCTCAGGAAATATTGGACCAATTTCATCCAAACTGCCACAAACTATCCTTTGGTGAAGGTGATTTATATTTGTTTAATTGATAGCCACACCCATTCCAAGGGCAGATATTTAAATATTGGTGAAAAATTAATGGTATCCTTTAAAGTTTTTCTCATGAATCACTGGGACAGGAAAGATAAAACTTATGTGGAATTATTTCCAGGTGGTATTGATTCAAGTTTATTCAATTCATGATCCCAGAGGGTAAGGCTGGGTCAAAATGGAGGATGAGAATCTTACACAGTAATACATAGGAAAAATTCTCTTCTCATATTTAAACAGCCAAATCATGATTAATGGTAACTTTATTCAAGCAGCCTAGTGAAATGTAGATTCAAGTTTGTTCAAGTCATTACCTTGGGGGTAGATCGGGACCATAAGTTTACATAGGAATATATGGGGAAAACCCCTTTAAGTACAGCAAAGTCGTGATTGTTCATGTTTATATCAAAACATCCTCAGGTATGGTGTTGATGCATAATTGTTAAAATCAAGATCCCAGGGAGTAGGGACGGACCACAATAAAAGTTCAACCTTATAGTCTAAAAGGCCTCAGATTGCTCGAAACATTATAGTAAAAACTGTTATCCTTTCTTAGTGTTGTTTCAATTTTGCATAGATTAAATTTAGTTCTAATCGTACCCTCCTTTAGAATCAGGACGACTAATGCATATACTGAATTGATTTTTGCTTGTTCCTAGCCACAATGCTCAGGTGAACGATGTGGCACATCCGAATCAAAAAATATTATCGAGCTTCTTTTTAATATATAATATCCTTCATGAAACGCCATATACATGTATACTCGTACTCTTAAAGAAAAACACATATAAAAGTTACATACGTTAACTGGTGGATGGAACTGTTTGTTGCCCCTAAATTTGATTTCCAAGCATGGACACACATATCATTCTTAGAATTTGTAGTGACTTTGCATAAAGCTTTGTAGTTGATTAACTGCACTGAAAAACACATAACAAAAACGTCATAAATGACTGAAGAGTACTGTTATAGTTGCATCACTTCAGACTGAATTTAAAATTCTTAATTAAATTGCCATCTCCACAAATTCTTCATCACGCACTTTGTTATCTATATGAGTTTTTGTGATATTTTGCTCAATTCAATAATTACCAAAGAAGATGTAGATCAACTTCCTGATCATAAAAGTCCGAAAAATGATTCTTCCCATTTTCTGCTATCTTTCTTTTTCGAAAATGGTGAAATGGTGATATTTTTCCGAAAAGAAAGATCCGTTGTTATACTGTTCACAACTTTGTCCTGGAAGGAAGTAACATAGAACACATGATTCAGAAAACAGAAATGACACAGTTGTTATTATCTGATAATTTGTCATACACTCAGTAGGTTCTCACACTCGACCTCTATATTTAGACGACATATGCTCTAATAAGCACTTTCAATTTTCACATGACTTTTTAAAAAAAAAGATTCACCGATATTCCAATATTTTGCTTAGTTCATATGTTATAATTGTCAGAATTATTTCTATGAGATTTCAAATGTCATCAATTAAGTGGATTATAATTTTTCTAAAATATATTTATTCCCAAAAAGTATTTGTATACAGCCAAATAGATAACTATGACATAATATTCTTTTATAATGTCTATGGTAAAGGTCGGAATATAACAGGGTGCTAGGGTGGGGCCAGTTTGCAAATACTTAAGATAGTAAAAACGGTAAGATATATGTGTCATTGTCATTTGTTTTGAAATGTCAAAATAAAACACTCTAACATAAGATTTCTTGACCTTAATTAAAATAAGTTATCTTTAAGGATTAGTTGGATGACGTCCGTTTGTATGTACAGACTCGTTTCTTTAAAGAAGTGTTATAATTCTTCTTTTCAGAAGTAAATGTTAAGGAATTTTAAATGTAAATTGGAAGCATCATGGAAAATAGATGAATGTATGATCACTATAGTTCAATGATATACAGGTATGGTGATACCAAACTGCATTCAGCCTCAAAGTTCATATTCTGTTACCTATAAACAACACATATCGGGAGAAGACCAAATACTGACTTCTAAAAAACACCAGACGTGGGTTCGGGTGCCATGAAAACCTTTAAAAAAATCAAATTTAATTTTTTAATACGTTTTCCCCAAAAAAACATCACAAGGAGTACACGGCACGTTTGACCCGTCGACATAATTTATCATTTATAATACCTGGTCTTTGTAGGGTAATATAAAATCATCTATAACAAAAGTAGTGAAATAAAAAGCAAGAAAACTACATTCAATTGATTAAAATAGTATTAATCATACTTATCTCTTAGCATTGGAAGTTGTACGAATTTGTACCAGTTACAATTAAAACTAACATCCTTATCGTAGCAGGGTTGTTTTCTTTTTTTTTCAAGATAAACACTTTAACTCATCATTTTGCTTTCCGGACTTAAAAAAAGGAGATGTTCTAGCTCTAAATAATATATTGTTAGAATTTCCTAATCTTCCAAAAGGGAACGGTATATTATAAATATATTTACATTGCAGTTCCAGGAAAATCTAGTTCTCTTGAATGTAAATTTTATGCTTTAAAAGGTTTTCTGTTAAATGTAAGGAAAGATATCGACAATGCACAACGGACATAGTGCTTTCTTCTAGCTATTTTTTTCGATTTTCTTGCTTTAACATGCATCCTAGATTAATCAAAGCACTGAAAGAACTGAAAGGCGGTTTTTAATTGCTCGAGAATATTGTCTGATCCAAAATAAGTACACATTTATTTTTTTTTCTTCTGGTCATTGATGTTTAACAGGTAGAGTTTGCATGATTATGATTAACAATATCCCATATACCAGTAATTAAAACTAACAGTCCAAACTTATGATTTAAAAATTTAATAAACAAGATGTCCAAGATATTCTCGCATATTATAATTTTTCTATTCAAGAAGCATTTTTTTCTCATAATTCAAAAATTCAGTCTTGGAATATTTAAAATAATGCACATATTTAAGAAACATTCTTTTAGTTTCAAACAAACGTTCACGGTAGCTCAGTCGGTAGAGCGCTCGCTCCGTGATCGGGAGGTCGTGAGTTCGTATCTCGGCACGACTGACCTAGTCGTTAAAATGGGTAGCAACTGTCTCTTCGCCATGCGCTCGGCACTTTGAAGTGAAAGTTGCGGGTCCATCGGATGAGACCTTAAAAACCGAGGCCCCGTGTCAGCGGCAGGCGTTAGCACGATAAAGATCCCTCCCTGCTCAATGGCCTTGAGTGCCGAGTAAAGGTCAAAAGTTGAAGCCCTTCACCGGCATACGGTGAAGTCACCATATGAGTGAAAAATTCTCGAGTGGGACGTTAAACAATATACAATCAATCAAACAAACAGTACTTTTATCGGAAACTACATGTAAAAACACTGATACATCTTCATTGTCAAGCGACGTCAGGCATAATGCATATAAATTGAATTTCTTAAAATGCCAATTGACTATACTATTAATTTGTTTAAAAATCAAAACATTATGATATCAACCACTAATATTATATCGACGAAAACGATATGAAACATGAAACTCCTCAAAATTTCGAAAAGCCCTCGCTATTGAAAATAATTCGCTTAAAATATGCATTCAGCAGCGTATGTGCACAAATTGTTGGATCCCAATAAAGCAAATATCTAATTTCTCTTTCAATTTAATTCTCAAGCTAAAATATTGATCATTAATTTTTCCAACGATTAGGATGTTAAAAATATTTGTTTGAATGTCGTCTCGCAATGGAACTATTTTGTTTATTGGGAGCGTCTGCTTTGACGCTGTTTGGTTTTTTGTTTACTGTGCTATTTATAGTAAGACAGTCGATCATGATGCCTATAGCTAGGACTTTGCTTTCAGAAAAGCCCAGCTTTAAAGTCGGAATATATGACATTGAGGTTTGTGCAGATAAATGATGAAAATATTTCTATTTTTATATGATGTTTTGACTTCAGATGAAATGGGCCAACTAAGAACTATAACTTGTATGACAACCGAGAAGACCTCCGTTTTACTATTATAAACATTCCTTATTTAGAACTGTGAATAATATCCTGCAACCCTTCATATGGTGTATATAAGATTTCCTGACTTATTAGCTATACTAAGAAGCATTCTCTGACTCTACCAGAAAGAACGATACTTAACGGAAATTGATCCTAAAAAACAAAACAAGTATTTGATAATAAATACGGATAATTGGAATTCAAAAGTCAAAGGATCCGGTGCCTATAAGGAATAAGAATGAGACATTAAGAGGTCAGGGATGATGTATCTATCAGGAGTAAGTATTTAATCATTAAGAGTCCGGGGATGGGGTACATGTACCTATAAGGAGGAGGGAGTTAAGAGCCCATGGATCAGGTGCCTATGAAGAGTAAGGAATTGAGGTCAGGGATGAAATGTCTATCAGGAGTACGTATTTAATCATTAAGAGTCCGGGGATGGGGTAACTAGGAGGAGGAGGGAGTTAAACATTTAGAGCCCATGGATCAGGTGCCTATGAAGAGTAAGAAATTAAAAATCATAAGGTCAGGAATGAGGTGCAGATAAGGAGTGAGGATACAAACATTAAGAGGTTAGGGATAAGGTGCCAGTGAGGATAAAACATTAAGAGGTTAGGGATCAGGTGCCAGTGAGGAGTGAGGATACAAACATTAAGAGGTTAGGGATCGGGTCAGTGAGGAGTGAGGATACAAACATTAAGGGGTTAGGGATCAGGTCAGTGAGGAGTGAGGATACAAACATTAAGAGGTCAGGGATCAGGTGCCAGTTAGGAGTGAGGATACAAACATTAAGAGGTCAGGGATCAGGTCAGTTAGGAGTGAGGATACAAACATTAAGAGGTCAGGGATCAGGTGCCAGTTAGGAGTGAGGATACAAACATTAAGGGGTTAGGGATCAGGTCAGTGAGGAGTGAGGATACAAACATTAAGGGGTTAGGGATCAGGTCAGTGAGGAGTGAGGATACAAACATTAAGAGGTCAGGGATCAGGTGCCAGTTAGGAGTGAGGATACAAACATTAAGAGGTCAGGGATCAGGTGCCAGTTAGGAGTGAGGATACAAACATTAAGAGGGCAGGGATCAGGTCAGTGAGGAGTGAGGATACAAACATTAAGAGGTCAGGGATCAGGTCAGTGAAGAGTGAGGATACAAACATTAAGAGGCCAGGGATTGGGTCAGTGAAGAGTGAGGATACAAACATTAAGAGGTCAGGGATCAGGTACCTATAAGGAGAAAGGAGTTAAACATTTAGAGACCAGAGAACGGCTTATGATCATAAACATCCCCAAAATGATTCTATCCATATTTATGCTATTTTACATTTCTAAAATAGTGAAATAGTGACATTTTTCCAGAAAGAAAATTCAGTTGTTATACCGTTCACAACTTCTTCCTGGAGGGAAGTAACATAAAACACATGATTCAGAAAACAGGACCGACGCAGTTGTTATTATTTAATTATTTGTCATACACTTAGTAGGTTCCCACACTCGAGCTCTATATTTAGACGATATATATTCTGAAATGCACTTTCAATTTTCAAATGACGTTTTCTTAAAAAGATCCATCGGTATTAAAATATTCTACTTTGTTTATATGTTGTTATTTCCGGAGTTATTTCTATGAAATTTTCCATTTGTCATTTTATAAATTAATTATAACTTTTCCGATATTTATTCCCGGAAATCATTTGTGTTCAGCAGCATAGATAACTATGAGATAACAGTCTTCTATAATGTCTAAAATAAAGGTCCGGATATTACAGTGTTCTAGGTGGGGCAAGTGTGCAAATACTAAAGATAATAAAAATGGTAAGATAAATGTCTCGTCGTCATTTTGATTTGAATGAAACAAACAGTATTCAAGATCAAAAGTCCTTTAAACAATACAAAATAGGAGCAGAGCATTCACGGACCTCCAAAACGTCGGAGGTTGGATAAGGTGCTACGGAGGAGTAAATGTCAAAAAATATATTTTCAAATAATATAACCTGACCTAAATTAACGTTAGCTATCTTTTAGGATTAGTTGAATGACAACCTTTTGTATGTACAGACTCATTCAGTAAGAGAAGTGTGGGAATTTCTCTCTTCAGAACTAAATTTAAGGAATTTAAAATGTAATTTTTTATGACATGCAACTTAGAAAATGTATAAATGTATGATCACTATAGTTCAATAACATAAAGTGATAAAAAATGGCATAGAAGAAGTTCACATTGCATTAAACAATAGAAGAGGAAAGACGGGCATCCAAAAACATCAGAGGTGGCATCAGGTGCAATGAAAACCTTGAAAATCAAACTTAATCTTTAATACGTTTTCCCCCGAACATGACAAGAGTAAGCGGCCAGTCGGCATGGGATGCCTCATGGAACCTGATCCCACCTGATATTTTTGTCCTTGTTTGCTCCGCTCCTAATTTATAATGTTAAATGAACTTTTAAGCTCGAATACTGTACGTTATCTACATATATTCCATGTTATTAAATTGGGTAAAAACTAAAATAATTAATCCTTCTGATTTACAAAAAAGTAAACATTTTATCTGTTAAAGTTAGTCAGTCGATGTTTGATTTCGTATGTACTCTATATTGACGATAACTATTATTAATTTTCTTTTATTGCAACGTGGCAAAACAGATTGGGTTTTTTGTAAAAATATGCATTTGCTTT